ACCCCCCCCCCAGTTTTAATTTTCCTTGCAATCAACAGGTGGAGAAGATGATCCAGTAGAATCCAGTGCATTTATTTCTTGCAATATCTGAACGGGTGTTGCAGCTTTGGATTTGAAACACGTACAAATTCATGTTCGCAAATTTAATGACAATCAGTACTAGAAGCAAATCATTGTATAAAGCTCATAGAAAAAAAGAAATGCCAAATGGGTCAGGTCTTTTTCCTGGGGAAAAAAAAAAACCCAAAAACCAACAAACAAAACAAACAACCAAACAAAACAAAAGCCCAAGCATTCCAAACAAAGGCCTCGTGGAAGCAAGCATACCCCCTTCAGAAAAAGTTCAACTCTCAGTGCAGGCAGCTGAAATACCAGTATCCATTCTTTCTACAACCAGCTAATTGAACTAGAGACAAAAAAGTTTACATGGTTTAATTAGCTGGGGAGTTGGCCAGGACTAAACGTGTGTGTCTGTGAGCACAGTCTTAGTCTGACAGTTGCCCCTTTTTTGTAAAGGATTCTGAGTCAGGGCTGACCCTCCGCACTTCCCCGCCTAGATACTATAGACCCTGCCTTGCAAACCTTGTGTAACTCAAAGTAAAATCTAGAGTAGTGCATTAACACTAAATTAAGGGCTAGATGCAGGTGAGCAGATGAAAGATTGGGCTGCAACAGGCTCTGGGCTTCCTGCAGCCCCAGCAGCGATGGGGTAACACAGTCCTCAGGGGAAAGCGGAGTGAGCCAAGTTAGACTTTGAAAGTAGTGCGAGAGCACAATTTAAAGATTGACATTTAAAAATGGAGAACCAGCTTAGGGCTGTTTCTGTAGGTCTAGTAATATCACCAAAACTTCTAAATACAATCATAACAGCAGGAAATACTGCTTATTTGACCAAGGGATTAGCTACCTAAGTGTTTCTGACTTGATGCATTGACCAAACCTCTCCAAAAGTTACTAAGAGTGCTGCGGTATTCACTTGCTTCAGTTTGTATTCAGAACATACAAAGTCGACAACTTAAAGCTTTATTGGAGTTTGCAATAATATAAACAAGTGCCAAAAATTCAGTCAATGTCCATTTCTGGAAGCTTCTTGTCTGGGGGGGGGGCAGCACTCTGCTCACCCTGGGGGCACTCGCTGTTGGCCTCCCCCTGCCCTTCTACTGGTCCGTTGGGTTCGGTCGGTTTCTGCTCCTCCTTGGGGAGTTCCACTTTGGGTTTGGGTTTGGTGACTATAGGATTACAGATACTTGTCAATTCCTAGAAAAACGGAGAAATAGAACAGTTAGAAATGTTTTTATCTACCACCAGTCATACTTCAACCTGCTGCCCAAATCTAACTTTTGGCACCACCAGAAGGTTGCTCAAGGCAAGAGCTGATGTTCCAGCACACATTTAACAGGTTAATACCCATCACTGTCCTTCTAGCACAGATTTCTCACCTCAGAGTTCTCCTCTAAGCACAACCAGGCCAAGAAAAGTTCTGCCTAATTCACTGTATTTCCACAAAAGACTTACTTTAGTTTTAGCTTGTATATCTTTAGCTTTGATAACCGGGTCCAAAGTAAGACTTCTCTTGTTCTGTAGATTAAGTTTATTGTTCATCCACTCCATAGCTTCGTTCGCGCTCTTCTCCACTTTCGCTACATCTGCTTCATCTAGATGGTCGTATTGTTCATCCTGAAACAGCCAGATGAGTAGTAGCTGCGCAGGTATGTTTGGAACAGCTAAACTGCATGCTTAGCTCTTCAAACTTTTAGCTCCAAAATACTAGAAAGAGCATTTAGCCAGAAGGCTGGTTAGCAGAGCAATTAAACTGATCACCCACAGCTCCAACCAGAGAGCCAGAGTTCTACTGCTGCTGGTATTTTCCCCTCCATGAGGAATTAAGCACCTGCTTAAGACCGTCAGGTTTTCAAACCAACATTCCGTTCTGAAAATACGGGAAGTATAAAGAACTCAATCTCGGCAGGAGGTTGTACCAGCTTTTTGTTTAAAAGGACCTTAAGATTCGGGAAAGATTTCTATCACTTTTCCGCATTTACTAGAAATGAAGTATCCAAATACCTTTGCTTTGAATGCATGAACAGTTTTCATGTACTGTTGAATTTGCTTCCCTAAGTCCTCAAATGCTTTTGGTCTTTCCTCCGATTCCTGAAATCTTGCCTGAATAGGTTGACCCAGAGTCTGAAACAAAATACAGATAAAGACAATACAGCACCGCACTAAGATCCTGCAAGATCTCACAGGGTACATCCACATTTCTGAACTCCTGTGGAACTTTCGCTCTTCCCTCCACTCACAGGAAAGTCTGAGTGTCCCTCAACCTCATATTGTCACAGGGCCCTTGGGGCTCTGCTCCTCGTGTCCTTGATGAGAAGATTAAGACGTTTGTTACCAGGGCTGAGCTCTGAATCAGACGACCTAACACAGCTCCCTGCTTGATCAAAGTTCTCTAGATTCAGCAAATTCCAGGGGGAATGAAAGAACCACTTACCTTCAACTCCATCAGTTTATCAATGTAAACTTGTTTGGGTTGGTCTTCACCATCTTCATAAAGCCAGTTTTCTGTATCTTCCAGCTTCAGCGTGAAGCTATTCCGATCCTGAAGCAATCCATACAAAATAGGTAGGTGAGGTAACTCTTATGAGATGGCAGATAGCATTAAAGGATGCTTGGAACCTTTCTGGAAGGGTTACATTTTTAGAATGTAAAGTACTCTCTCTGAAACACTTCATCTTATTTTAGTGAAAAATAAGATATTCTTCAGTGTTGCTTCATGGTGGAGACCAGGCCTAAGGAAGAACCATCTAGACACCCACCAGTCAATACTGTTGCATAAAAGCCTGTTTTTTTCCCCCTTTTAAATTTTTCTTCACATTTTCATCATCACTGTACGAGCAAGCCTGAGAAAAGCTAAACCGATCTTTGGCAGAGGTGCCATGAATCCCACTTGACTCGTCCCAGTTTCAGCTCTGATGGAGGTACAGAGGCTCTGCCCACACCCTGCTGGCAAGGCTCCCAGTGCCATCAGTGCAGATCCAGGCAGGAGCTGGAGTGATCTGTCTGACTAACATAGTCCTCTAACATACAATTACATTAATTACACACCAAGCTCCTTTAGTACAACAGGGAAAGCTAATTAATACTACCAAGAGATTTTTAGGCAACCTGTACAGATACAGGTACCCACATTTAGTCAAACTAATTCCACCTACCCTGTTCCTAGGTAGGGCTGTTCTTTATTTTTTTTTTTTTTTAAACTATTCCTAAATATTGACAAAGAGCCAAAATAGAATAGGTTGCCTTAAAATGACTTTAGTGTGCAAGTGCTCCTAGCCTGTTTCAGTCTGAAAACACACGCTCTGATTAGATCTTAATTGCTACAACTGTTTCAGAGAAGAACACACAATATATCCCGAGCACCATCTGCTTGTACTTGGGCCACATTGAGAAGTTTATCTTCACAAGCAGAGAGATTAAAAGCTACCTCTCCAAATTTACAGCCTGAAAATACAGTCTAAGTAAACAGAGTATCTGATACGGGTCAAAGGTTAGTAAAATACAACTGCTGATTGTAACAAAATACATTAGGAGACAACCAAGCCAGCAATACTTACATCTTCACTAACGAATTTCTCATAAACACTGCAGAGTTTGTCTCTCATATCATACACGTACTCTTCCACTGCATTCTTGGCATCATTCCTCTCTTTCTCCAGTTTATCCTGCATTATCATTTTACCCTGTGAACAAGTTGTCACGTTAGTTGGCTGAAGAGCCAGTTATTTAACATTTATCACCAGGATACCTTGTTAGCAAAAGCTGACATTTGACCAAAGATTTTGAAATTCCATGGTTTACAGACTTGTTCTAAACACAGCACAGGAATAAAGCCTAATTTCAGTTTGGGAGGGGGGAAATATCCAATACAGGGTGGAACAATCTTGCTCCAGCTGAGGAACCTTCACCCTGATGGCAGCAGCCACTGAATACCTTCTAACTGCAGGGGAGTTTGGAAGTAATCACCCTGTGAACCAGCCTTCCTCCAGAACACCTCCTCAGTAAGTCAGTGTTCACAGGAAGAATGGATCTCGGCTCCACGGGGCACTGCTCACCTCAGAAAAACTGCGTGTTTTCTTCCTTTGCATTTTTCTTGACCACCCTTACCCATTAACCATGTTTAATGAACAACAACATTTCTGGGGATTGACTAGCGACATTTTTAGCTTGGGCAAGTGAGAGCTTACCTCGTTCTCAATGAACAAGTTCAGCATGTCTTTCCCTATCTGCCACACCAGCTGGTTCTCAATGGGGAGGTCCACTGTGGTAGTCTTGACTTTAGCCTTCTTGGCTTGAGGTGGCTGATCCACTTTCTTGTCTTTTGACTCAGCCTGAGAAGTCTGCATTGAACAAATACATTCGAAGTGAACACAGCATCACCAGACAGTTCAAGTATTCAGGATTTACAGTAGAAAAAGTATTACTGAGTCAGTGCACCTCAACATCAGAACTACGTATTACCTGTCACTGACACTTCAGCTGCTGAAGTCAGAGATTATTAATGGAATTTCTGCCCTTTTCTGGGCACAGAGTATACATCCACGGGGATGATGGTGCTTCCAGCAGGCCACTCTACTAGTATTTAGTAATTTATTTTTCAGTAACTTATTTCTTCCACAAAGAGGAGAGTTCACCCATTTTATCAGTACTAGGTCACTTGAGGTCTGTGATTTCCACACAATTTGTGTACTTGAAAAGCTCTAATCACAACACAGACCACCAATAGATTCCAATCAAAATTCAGCATCCGGAGCTGCCAAAGGCAGCAGATGCTCTCACACACTACATATTCTCATGAATCTTCTGGAAGTATCCTACAAAACAATAGAAGTCTCAGATGTTCATGTTACCTCCATTTCTTCAGACTCTGCCTTATTTTCAGGTTGGGCCTGCTGTTGTTCTTCAGTCTTTTGTTGCTCTTCCTGGTCTACTTGCATCTTCTGAAATTCAGAAATCCAAGTTGACATTAATTAAAGGATGCACATACAGATCACTGCTTCAGTTCTTAGGCTGATTACTTCACTTACACCTAACGCTCTTTAGGCACAAGAAATGGAACAAAAACCCAAGTAGAGCCTCAGTCCATAAATTATAAGCTTCTAGCCTCTGCTTAGGCAAGCAACACTCCTAGCACAATGAAGAATTTCATCTATACCTCACAGCCCTGACAGATCTGTCACTGGTGTAACACACTTCAATTAGTGCTTAATCACATCTTTGTATTTTAGTTGCTGGATACGTTTACTAAATCCTCACACAAGGCTTGGAACTTTCCCAGAACTTGGCCAACTGCACTTCACTGGTTTTCTAAGTCGCCAAAAGCAATGAAGTCTATTACCTCTTCCTCTTTTGCATGCTGATCTGTTTCCATAGGCTCTTCATTCTCATCAGATTTATGAACCTCCACTAAAGATGCACTTGAAACACTGAAGATGCCGTGGATATTGACTCTAACTTTGACTTTCACTTTCGAACTGGATCCATCTGTTTGAGGAGTGACCTTCTGAACCAAGAAGTGAGCTAAACAGTCCCAGAGAGAAAAAAAAATTACCATTTTATTGATGTAATCACTGAAAGAAAAACCTGACTGTTGCTGACAATGGATCACTGCAACGCACTCAGAGGGTATCAAATTCTACGAGTCCAACGATTCAATTTTTTACTCAGCAATGCTAGGACACACAGCTATCAGAAATTCTCTGCAGTATGCTGTAAAAACTGGTGTTACTTGTATCAAAGTAAGACTGCACAGTGCTGAGCAGGTGCCTTTCAAATTTGCTCCCACATCAGGATGCTTTTTATTTAGCCTGTTTGTCCATGAACTTCATGTTACCCCAATCATTTTACTGTAGATCCATGACTTTGGAAACCTGTCCCTAAGCATTTGTAGTGACTTGCACTTTCCAGACTACAGAGTTAGTCAGAGTAGTCCTGAAACATGTACAAGGCTTAATAAAGCTTGAAGCAACAAAATGGTCTTAACCTATAGCAGGATCTGGGTAAGGCAGCTCCTTGGGAGAACTGTAGTAGGCCTCGAGAGTAAAAGGTTCCTTTCTGTAGAATGTGAGGACCTTAGAAAATGGAGCAGCATGGTTCTTGGGAAAGACCTCGCAGTCACTGTAAGACAAAACAGAGCATTTGTTTGGTCTGTGGGATGATGCACCCGAGACAGTTAATGAAACTTTTCTAGATACTCTTCTACCTTAAGGAAAAGCTTCTCTAAGAGGTGACAAAACAGACTCCTAACCTTTTAGGTTAAAGCAAGACCAATAGCCATGTAGGAAGTGCTCAAGTGCCACCCATCCTTGCTTCTGTTTCCTACTGTCATTAACTTCAGAAAAAGTATCAAAATTCGAGTTGTCAGATGGGCACTGCTCTAGAAGTGTTATTTACTTGTCATCATTTAGTAATTGTGCAAGAAGTTGGTTTTTTTTACCTTAACCCTTCCTCTGCTGGTGAATTCCATCGTAAGGAAATAGGATACGGTATCAAATCTGTGATAGAAAATTCTCTCACTTTGAACGCCGGGGATAAAATAGCACACTGAAAAGAGCACAAGAGCCATATTACAAACATTCAAACTTCAGGTGAACGGTAGTTTAATTTAGCAAGTAGCTATTTATGCTGCTTAATATGTAGATTTACTCTAGCTGAAAGGAGACCAATACTGGTGGACTTGGAACCTGTGTAATAAGCACTTGCAGCTCCTACGTGGCCTTTTCAGGAGGGTGCCATGATCTGATCACACTGAAAGTGGAAATACATGAGTTTTGGAGTCATTGTGTTGTCTGGTTTGCTATGGTTAAGCTACTGAGTTGGTTTTGGTGCCAAGATAAGAAAACACCTCAAAGTTACTCTCTGGAGTGACATAGTACCAGGGGTTTTGTGTATCATAACACAAAATTATCTTTTTAAGCAGATTCCAATAGCTAGTTTGTACCACCGATAGAACTGTAAGCACATATTAAACATCTGAAGAGAGACTCGAGATGATCAGAGCGAAGTTAAAATGCATTTAAAAGATAGCAGCACTAGTAACTATAGAGTATTTACTACTGCTTAAGCCTTTCAGCAGTGACTGGTCCCAGCTGAAGTCAGATTTCCATTAGCAAGAACCTAATCTTTCAGTTTTCAAGCAATCACTGTTTATCAGTAGTTCTATAAAAATCTTTTTCCCCCCCCTGTTTCATCTAGGCACCCAAAGGAGCCTTGAAGTGAAAACACCACGAGCTTTATCAGTCCCAGCTTCCAGGCACAGCAGAAGCAGAGTACGCAGTTCACTTCAACACGCTACACTGATCCGGCTTAGACAAACACCACAGAGCAACCCCTTAAAGCTGCTATTTTCCTTTCTTCTAACTGCTCCCTCGAAGCTTATCTATTCTGTGATACACATGAAGTATCTCTCCCATTACCTGCAGACTCTGGCTCAAATATTCACAGATTTCAGTGAAAAATACTCACAGCTAAAACAAACAGCACTTTTTACCTGCAGTGCACAACCTCGAGCAACAGCCTCATCTGCATTCAAAGTGGTACTGACTTCTTTGCCAAAAAATTTACTGATCTTCTCTTTAACAGCAGGGATTCTTGTGGTACCACCAATTATCTCTACTGCATAAATATCCTCCTTCTTTAACTCTAGAAAGGAGTCAGACATTAGTTTTTATAGATTAAATGTTTCACATTAATATGCTGACATTGTCAACCAAAAGTTTCACTAGACCAACTGTTATTTTAAGCTGTTTCTCGTGTTTCTAAGCACTAAGAACTTCAGATCTTAGCTTGTGTGAGAAAGTTTTAAAAAGCTCGCGACCGCTAAGCAAGAAATTGTTAGCTGTGCTAAATCCATCTGTCCGTTCTGTCAACACCCAAAGGAAGGTTGGGGGGGGGGGGGGTCTCT